TTTGCAGAAAATGGGAACTGCTTTATTTTCTCTTTCCCAGTGTGCTTTGTTAGAGGTCATGGGATACCTATATGACTCTGATTCATCCCGTCCCACTTTCTAGTTTGGGATGATTCCAAGATTATTCACTTCCTTGTTTGGCAAAACCTGAGCTTCATTTCTAGACCTTTTACACTGTCCCCCTAGAAGCACGTCAGCATAAAAAGCAATGGCTCTTGTGGAATATCTCCTAGATTGATCTATTAATAAAAAGTAATAATCATGTGCTGTCTAATGAATTCTGACATACAACAATCCTTATCAGGGTTTTCCAGGTAAAGAATATTAATGATCAGTTGCAATTATAGGAACTTGGACCATAGTTTCAAACGGCAGATAAGACAGTAATGCCAAGAATTCATCTGTACAGTGTCAGCACTCTTGTCCCAAGGTACCCAACAAGATTTGTCCCACTTTGGGAACATGACACTGGAGATACATGGGCTTTTAACCTAGTTCTGGAGAAATGTTTCCTTCTTTTTTAAAAAAAAAATCTGATTGAATAAACGAAACAACAAAATGCAGATTAACAGAAAAAAAGAAACAACATATATAAAGAAACGAAACTAGTCCACATAACATTGCACTTCTAATTTCACTTGTAACCCAATGTGTTCTCCTCCCACCAGAACCATTTACAAAGCCTCATTCTCCTTCCAAAAATTCATTGAACTCTTGTGGAGGTTTCTGTCTTTCTTTTTTTATTATTTGTTAATACAGAAGGATCTCATTTAATCAGCAAGTGCTACTCGTGACCCTTTTCTTAAAAATGTGTATTCAAACTCATAGGTATGGAAGATTTCCAGTAATTCTAAATCACAGATACACACAAAGCTTTTTGTAAGCTTCTATCCTGGCCAGAGGCAAGGGAACACTGGACCATTCTCCATGATCCATGCAGTCTTATCACCAGTCTCTTTACAATAAATTCACATACATAATGTTCAGGATCCTACTGGGTTTCCACAGTGCAAACTGGAAACTGTATAACCAATGTGCATGATTATGCCAGCTGTCTGTTGCATGCTTGAACACATCCATTGCACACTCAAGCGCGCAGTTTGTCACATTTCTACATGCACAACATATGGTGAGAAAATTGTGAAAACAGTTTGCACAGTCTCTCTTAATACATGCAGCTTTTCACAAGAGGATTTTGGTGTATGTAAGAAAACTAATATAAATCTATGCTTGCAGTATTTGTATTTTGAAGACAAAATCCAACTGGAAAAAATATACACATAAGGCAATTGCAGAGTAGGTTTTCACCTCCTGTCTGCTCCCCCTTCATGCATGTCGACACAAGCAGTCACCCCCGATTCCATAATCACTGCAATATCAGGCAAGCAACAGTGAAATTTCCACAGATCATGTAAGTAAGTACAACTCATCAGAAATGCAAAAAAAGCAAAGCAAAAAGCAAGCAAACCATGCAAGACGCATCGGAAATGCAAAAAAAGCAAAGCAGAAAGCGAACAAACCCCACACAACCCATCGGAAATGGGGGGAAACCCCAAAAGCAAACAAACTCCTCAAGACCCATCGGAAATGGGGGGGAAACCAAAAAGCAAACAAACCCCCACAAGACCCACTGGAAATGGGGTGGGGACCAAAAAGAAAACATTCTCCAAGACCCATCAGAAATGGGGGCGGGGGACCAAAAAACAAACAAACCCTGCAAGACCCATCACAGCATAGAAGCATAATCCCACTACCCAGCCCAAAACCATGCTGCAAAACCCACCCAGAACAATTTTTAAACAGCAGAAGGCAGCACCTTACCTTACCAGGCAGTCCGAAGCCTCCTCCGATCGCACTCACTCTAACTGTTGGGGCGAAAGAGCTACAAAGAAGCAGCCTCTTCGCCTACCAATGGTTAGCAATTTGAATTCCCCGCCTTTTTACCCCTGTCTTTTTTTGGTTGTAACTCCGGCCGCAAGTCGAAGCAATATTTTTCAGCCGGAGCTGGTAGTAACTCAGAATGGTCGTAAGTTGGGACGCTCATAAATCGAAGCATCACTGTAAATAGAATTCTGGCCAATATAAAACAGCTGTAAAACAGGACTTTGTTCTCAAAAGGTTTTTAAATTAATGATTTTTAAAGCTCAAATTGATTTAAATAGTGATTTAAATTATCAAAAATTAGATTTTTAAAATTTAAATCATGAATTAAGGCAATTTTATTTAAATCCAGTCCAACTTGTTTGTTATGTGTGGATTTAAAGACAAAAAAGAAAAAAGAAAAAGCAGAATCTACAAATTCCAGCTGGAAAGGAAGAAACTCCCCATAGATCCACATAGTCAATGATCCCTCTATAATAACCAATTTAATCCTGTGTTTTACAAGAGCTCCATGTTATTACCATCAGTTACAGGCTATAACTGATTTATTAAGAGGGATATAATTTAATCCTAAATTTTCCAAATGTCCTTCCAACAATTTAAATTATGACCTTAAAACCAAACTATTGACATTTACTGGATTCTGCCTGGCATTATTTAATAAAATATGAATATAAGGGGTTCCAAATATTTATTTTAGGTTCCTATCGTAATACAGTGCTGGGCAGATTCAGACGCAATCAAAAGTAATACTGAAATAAAGAACTCTATGTATTTCAAATATCTTTTTAAAAAGAAATTGATTTTTATTTATTCATTTATTTATTTATTCAACTTTTATATCGCCCATCTGGCTGCAAGGCCACTCTGGGAAGTTTACAATATAATAAAACAAAACAATAAAACAATAACATGAACACTTTTTAAAAATCAGACATAACAGTCGTACAAAAATCAAAATCAATTGTTAGAAGGCTCTAATTAAATCACTGCCACAAGCACTGTTTTGCTTCAAGTATGGGTGGAGCAGCAAAGTGTAGATTACGCATTTGATTTGCTGTGCATATTGCAGACCAGACATTATTGTAAACTGAGAGTTACTGACTAGCTAAAAATATGAAGAGTTTTAGAAAGCAATCACAGCTTTCAAGATACAGCCCAAGCGTCCATATTATTACGATTATTTCTTCTAATACCTATGCTTACATAGGCATTAGAAGAAACACCTGTGTTTACATAAATGTAGACAAAACCACACCACTCACAATCAAGAGAAGGGCATCAGTAACTCTGGGGTAGCTCCAGGATTTGCTTTGATATGAACCATCACAAGACTACTCTTACATGGAGGTGGCAAAAAAGTAGATCACAACTCAAAAGCTTATACAGTGGTGCCTCGCTTAACGATTACCTTGTTAAATGACAAAAACGCTTGACAATAAAGTTTTTGCGATAGCTTTTGCGATAACAAAACGATGTTTAATAGGGAAAAATCGCTTAACGATGATCGTTCCCTGCTTCGGGAACCAATTTTTCGCTAGATGACGATTTTAAAACAGCTGATCGGCGGCTCTAAAATGGCCGCCCGCTGTGCAAAATGGCTCCCTGCTGTGATTTAGAACGGATTCCTCGCTTTACAGGCACTGAAAATGGCCGCCCCTATGGAGGATCTTCGCTGGACACTGAAGTATTTAGCCCACTGGAACGCATTGAACCGGCTTTCAATGCATTTTAATGGGCTTTTTCGTTTCGCTTGACGAGGATTTCGCTTAACAGAGATTTCAACGGAATGAATTATCCTTGTCAAGCGAGGCCCCACTGTAGTATTAACAGAAAGAAGGGGGGAATAACAGTTGACGAGAACAGATAAGAAGAACGGGAAGACAAAGGAAGAGTGATTCAGAAATAAAGAGGATCATGAGAATTGTCTGGAAATGTCATTTCCTGGTTCACACTGAGAAACTATTTTTAAATAGCTTCATGGACAGATATGAGAGCTGTCCATTGAGAGCAGTGGAGATTCCAATGTAGTTTATATTTTTACAGCATTAAACAATCTATCAAAAAAACGGTAAATGGAGGAGGGAAACAGCTAAGAACTGTGTGTGTGGAATTCTAGCAGAATGTTGAGGGTGCAAGGTTAAAAAGCAAAAGAATTAGTACAAATACAGAACAGTGACTAGACTGCTAAAACAAAACTTCTCTCTACTACAACATTAAACTGGAAGAAAAAGAAAGCTATCTTATATCGGGTTAATTTATTTGCCCATCTAGTTCAGTATTAGAAGCAGCTCTTCAACAACTCTAGGACATATCTCTCTACTCATTTGCTAACAGATGCATGGTCCTCTTCCTTGCATATATAAGTAAGGGAAAGCTACCCCCCTGATAAACACAATTAATTCCAATTGCACTTAATTTACTAAATCATTCTCTTGCAACAAGGTAATAATTATTCTGGCAAATCACTTTTGGTTGTGTGTTAAGTATTTACTTTAGTTCCTGTGTTAAGCTAAATGAATGTTTGTATGATGAACAACAAAAGTAAAATGATAAAAACGAAACAAGGATTAAATCTTGGACCTTTTACCTGCAAACTCTTCTATATTTTAGTGGCAGTTTAAGCAATGGTGAACTGAATCATGTTGGCAGAAAAAAAACATTAATTCGCATATCTGCTAATAGAGTCAGAGTAGCCACTGACTAACTAGTAAAGGAACTTTGCAGCCATGTAGATAGCTGAAAACGTTGATCAAGTGTGTGACTCATATAAAATGCAAATTCCACATTAGGGGTTATTAGGAAAGCAACTGGAAACAGAACTCCAGATACTGTACTGTACTGTAACACCTTTCTACAAATTGATGATGCAACCCCATTTGAAATACTCCATATAGTTTTGATCACTGAACATCAAAAAGAATATTGTAGAGTTTAAAAAACACTAAAAAGGGCAAGCAAAATGATTACATGGGTAGAGCTCCCCTATACGGAAAGCATACAACATTTGGGGCTGTTTAGCTTAGAAGAAAGCTAAGTGTATATAAATGATAAAATTGCACAAAATTACGTATGTCAAGGAGAAAAATGAATAGTGAAGTTTTCCCCTCTGTCTCATAATACCAGTATCCAGGGTCATCTAGAAATCTGAAGGGTGAGCGATAAAAGGGAAGTACTTTTAAATACACAGCTCACAGTTAATACATTACAAGATATAAACCACAGCCAGCCACTCTCTGTCCAGCAGAGGCACAGCTGGTACACTGGCCTCAACTGATCAAAGATATTATATGCCCTTAAGGCCATTTTTCCTCTCATTGAAAACTCAGATATGAAAATGTCAGAATATAACTGTTGCATTGACTGATAGCATTTTCATCTGCCCTTAATTAAATTGCACATTTTCTGCAGTTTTCTTCAGTAAAATCTCCATCTGCTTCATTTTCCTTCTACCAAAATTATTAACCAGAGACTCAACTGGAGCAAATGTACACATAGTAATAAAAGAAGGCCACACCTGCAACTTATTAGAGTTGAAAACAAAGCAGACTTTCTGAAACAATGTCAAAATGTTATGTTACAGGGTAATTTTAATTCACATGCAAAACTTTCACAAGTTCAACAGTTTCACTGTACGGTAACATATACAGTAATAGCCACTACACTGCTTCCTTCCTTGTTCATTTTTCTCTTCCCAGTAGAAATGTCTAGTTTATGCCAAAGACTTGAACCAAGGACAACAGTTGCTTGATATAAATGAAGAAGATTAGAACTAGCATACAGTATTATTTCCTGATACAGAATACACTCAAAATATGTAACATTCCATTTGATCATGGCTGAGCACTTAGCATAGTAAGTCATGAAGAATAGGCTGAATAAATCAGTGGGAATTTGATGAGTCAACTCCTCTATGAGCTCCTTTGATTCAAACGGGCATAGTACGTTATTATGGGTACTTGATTTCATTGTTTCACCTCCTGGTTTGTTATTCCTAATTTTTTTAAAAATGTATTTTATTGTTCTTATCTTACTCTTTATGAACTGGGCAAGGAAAAGTATGGCATCTACACTTCAAATAATAAATTTAAAAAATTAGTAAATATATCAAATGAATGCCAGAACTTGAGAACACATAAGAACTGAAGATGAACCAACTACCTTTTAAAACTGTTTTGGAAAACTATAACTAGAATATATATAGCTAAGCTTCAATAACTTTTTATAGGAAAAACTAGCAATACAATCTCCACTTTGGAATATGAAAAAATGTGGACTGCACACGAAGCTACCCTATAAAGATTTAGAGCTAAGTGGGGATTTAAATCCAGTTCTCCTTCTCAGATATCCTCAGAATGCTGCTCTGCTTTGTCTAGTCCAAGACAAACACTCCAGCCTATATACAGTAAAGGTTCCCCTTGACATTTAGTCCTGTCGTGTCGGACTCTAGGGCGCGGTGCTCATCCCAATTTCCAAGCCGTAGAGTCAGCGTTTTGTCCGACGACAGTTTCTGTGGTCATGTGGCCACCGCGACTAGACACGGAACACCGTTACCTTCCCTCCATGGTGGTACCTATTTGTCTACTCACATTTGCATGCTTTCAAACTGATAGGTTGGCAGGAGCTGGGACAAGCGACGGGAGCTCACTCCATCGAGTGGGCTTAATCTTACGACTACTGGTCTTCTGACCTTGCAGCACAGAGGCTTCTGCGGTTTCACCCGCAGCACCACCACGTCCCTAGACTATATACAGTATTGACCTATTTTTGAACATGCCAAATAATATTTAATTGGCCCAACTGCTTTAGCTTCCTTTCCTAATACAGGGAACCATCAAAGTATTTTGCTGGCTGAGGCAAAGAACAAGATGGTGACCCATCCTATTCATGCACAAAAGCTGACAGATGGGTGTCTGAATCATACTAGCAACACGACAGCATTCTTCACAATACCTGGGAGTGGCAGGCTAGCTTAAGATACCTGCGGGTTCCACCACCTGTGCAATTCTGTCCTCCAAACATCTTGCTAGAGCTTTTACCAAGTGCTGCCTAAGGCAGCTGCCTCTGCTTCACCCTGCCTAATGGCAGGGCTGGCCCTGCATAACAGATAGAACTATTGTTTCGAAGAAACAGTGAAACCTTTCCTTTCATCTCTGCTAATGACCCATCCCTACTGCATTGGGACTCACTTCTTCAAGAATTTAGAGAAAGACTAGTTTTGTTTCTGTGTTTTAATCTAGCAGAAGACTGGAGAATAGACTGGAACGTGCACATCCCCAAGCAAGACCCTGAAATATACAATGGTGCCCCGCACAGCGAGGTTAATCCGTTCCGGATTAACCTTCGCTGTGGGAAACATCGCACTACGGAACAGAAAAAGGCATTGGAACACATTAAACAGCGTTTAATGCGTTCC